GGCATGACCGGCCCGGACTGTGGGGAGCGCCCGACCGGGCGAGGTCCCCCTCCCCAGGCTGGTCCAGGGGCCTGGGGCCGGGGCTGAGGGTGCGCCTGGGGCGCCTGTGCCTCGCGGGTGTCGCCTTCGCCCGTGTGGATGTGGGGGTAGAGCTTGGTGCCTCAGCTGCTGCCTGTCTGTGGGCCTTCCCCTACGCGGAAGGGTGCGGGGGGCACGGGGAGTGTGTGAGTGTGCGCTGGTTTGGAGGTACGGCCTGTGGGTGTTGGTGTATGGGCACGGCAGTGTGCACCTGTGCGCAGGTGTGCGTCTGCGTGTCTGAATGTGGACACGGTGTGTGGGTGTTGGTCTCTTCATCCATGTAGCTAGTGACAGGACAAGAGGAAATGGCCTCAGATTGTGCCAGGGCAGGGTTAGATTGGATATTAGGATAAATTTCGTTACTGAAAGAGTGGTCGAGCACTTGAACAGTCTGCCCAGATAGGTGGTGGAGTCCCCATCGCTGGAGGTGTTAGAGAATTGTGTGGATGTGGGACTTCAGGACATGGTTTAGTGGGCATGGTGGTGTTAGGTTGGTGGTTGGACTTCATGCTCTTAGAGGTCTCCTCCAGCCTCAATAATTCTATACATATATGCTTGAATGTATAGGAGGACATCTCACAAATGGATGCACGCAATGTGCATGTAAGGCCTGGCTCTCCTTACACCGTCATGGATATTTTCAGTTCACTGCTCTGCTTGCCCTGGCTCACTCCTGCCATTCCAAGTTGTGGGAGGGCAGGGATAGGAGCAAGGGAGTCAGCCCTTGCATAGGCTGGTGGCTGGCACAGGGAGAGAAGTGGTCATAGTTAAAGTTTTTCCCAGTATGTTATTTTATTGGCAAAGAATCTGCATTGCTTTTTAGCAGTATTGAATTCAGACATAGCTCCAAGTACATTTAGTTAGAACAGTGAATAAAGCATATGCTCAAAAATCAGGATAAGCTTTCCCACTGTTAGCAGGGAGTGTTTTGGTGGATGGTTAGAACTCCAACATCCGTCTGAGATACTGTTATTAGTACTTGAACTTGCCATTTCAGTGCTACAGCAGCCAACTGAGTATTAGTTACATTTCTGAGGGCTGAGTTTGACAGCTGCAAGTTAATACGTGTTTTCTAATGCTGAAACAATTCATAACAAAACCAGCCAGATTTAGAAACAGCAGCAAGCTGTCTTCTGCTAGGAGCTTGTTCAATCCCAGTGGATTTTTGAGGTACATAAAAATGTAATTTAAACAGCTGCTTTGACTGGTGACATCAGGAATATAGTTAGTTTGGTTTTTTCCCCAGAAAGGTGGTCATCACCACCACCCTCCAGGAGCTGCGTGCATTGATCCTCTTCTAGTTGCTTGTAATTACATTCTCTGAAAATATGGCTATACAAGACAGCAGGGTAACTGACAAGCAGAGTTTCAGGCTTATTTTACGTATGTGGTGACTTGGCAACCAGCGATGACTTACAGGGTGTTTTTTAAGAGATAACATCAAGAGCTTGTGTTGGTCAGCTCTTGAGAAAAGAAGGGCTGGCTCCAAGCACAGCTCTCTGGCATGAGGAAGTCTGGAAATGATTCTTATCATTACTGAGCTCCATGTGAGCTTTTTACCTGGTTTTGACAACTTTCAATGGAACTAAAACTTAGGACAGTTCTGTATACTGGTAAGCATGGGAAGAAACAGACTTTCTTTTACAAGTTCAAAGTTTATGAATTAACTTTTGGTGTCAATTTACATTGAGATTTGTGAGAGACTTGCTGTGTTTTCAGGTCATTTTCACAATAGTGCAGTCTCTAGTGCACATCCTGCTAAAGGATTACAGATAAAACTAGATTAATTTTTTAATTTATTATTTTTTGTTTGTGAATTATTAATGAAGAGAGTTGTGCACTGTTTCTTTAGTATGTTAAATTCAATAGTTTGGTGAATCAAGTAATGTCACTTCCCTGTTGTGTTCAGTCTTACATACGTTTCGTTGCACCTTTTGAAAGAGACAAATGGCTTTGTAAAATCCCTTGCCTTATTTCTTCAGTGGTAATTAGTCATTTAATGGCAGTTAGGAATTAATGTATTTGGCAAGCAATGATTAATGATCATAGTTGCCATTTGTTAAAAATGTAGACAACTCTCAGGCACTAGTTATGACTCTGTTCTGGATGTTCTTTGCTGTGTACGCAGAAGTAGCCTGAACCCAGTAAGATCAGCATCCAACACGCTTTTTTTTGTGTGGTGAGAGAACAAACATCACCTTAAGATACCTAAACAATTCAAGATGTTTGTATTTAAGAGCTGGTTCTGTGGGATCACTCATCTGCAGTGTTTACCGAAGCCCAGGAAATGCTTCTCCCTACTTTTCTTGGATGGCTGGTTACTACCGAGTTTGCCGGCTGGCTGGGTGATGCCCTCCTCTCTCTCCCCACTTACTCCCCATGCGTATGTTCCTGCTCTCTGCCTCGCAGTTTCTGCTCGCTCTCTTGCCGTGCTTGCCTCGACATTGCACAGAGCTGTAGATCTTTTCTCATCCTTGCTGGTTGAGCACAGTCAGATGACTCAAAGCTGTCATGAGGCCGGGAGGAGGAAGGATGCATTAGGAGCTGTGGCATTGGTGTTGTTTTTACTTTTTCTCCTTTGAAAAACCACTCCAAATTAATGGTTTTTCAGAGTAGTGAGTAGGAAACATGTGAGTAGAAAAGGCTAACAGTTGTGACAACAATGTTAAAATTCAGTCTTGCATGTGATTTTTTTTTTTTTAAATTTAAATAGGTTGCGATTTTGCTTAATAGGGGTTTGGGATACCACGATCACGTTATTTTGTTTAGACTGGAGTCCTTCTGTAGCAATGAAGTGTACCTCGGTAAGCCTTATTTGTGAGAAATAGAAGGCAGCTCTTCAAGTCCTATTACACAGCCTGTTTTCTTTTGGATAAATTAGACCTGTTCTCCCCTCTTCTGTCCATTCTCTTTTTAAAAAGCTGAGGTCCTGTGTCACATGTGTGTGAAATTTTTATGCAGTGAATTGACATAGGAGGATCTGTCTCTTGTTTCCTGCGAGCGCTGCCTAGAAGAATCATTATATCAATAAACCAAATAACTGGTTTTCCCTCGTGAAAGAGGCCGACCTCAGAGATGCATTTAGCTGATGAAGGTCTTGAAGAGGTGCTACGCCTTGAACCCACGAGAGTTTTATAATCACAAATCTCTCTCTCTCTCGCTATAGTAAAATATTTGGCATAATAGAAAGCTTAATACATTTTTTTCAATGCCAGCTGTGCCCAGGCACTTCAGTGTGTTGTGTGGAGTGTTCGTATCGCATATTCTGCTCAGGATGCCTCTGGCGAATGCATCTTGTTGTCACAGAGCAGAGATTTAGAAGAACCATTGAGTCACCAACGTGAAAATCTGCATAATTGTACATGTGTAGCCGTGCTATTAGCAAGTCAGAACTGTAAATTTGCACTTACTGGCCTCACGCTGTAATTGGAATGTCATTATATTCTAATCCCTAGAGAGGCTCCTTGGAATCAGAAGTTAATAAGCTTTATTTTGGTGTTTCCAGAGAAATGCTGTGATAGTAGTTTCGTGTTAAGGAGGCATTCTTGGAGGTTTTTGGTTTTTTTTTAAAGAATCTGTGTATGATGTTAGAATGATCCATACCCACGCTTGGTTATGTAATTATCAACTTTAAACCTCTTGTGCAGAAGGGTTATAATATTTCCATAATGACAGCTCTGTGATGTGCTTTGCACCAGGGTTGTTAGGGTTGTTTGTGGGAGGTCTCTTCCTGAGCTGTGCGGCTGCTGTTGGGAGTTGGGGCAAAAGTGCAGTAAGAATTCACAGCAGCTACGAGGGGGAACTGCTGTGCGCTGGTTCCCTTTGTAGGAAGTGATGCAAAAAGCATCTCGCTGACAAAGATGTTAAACAGCTTTGGAAAAATGGTTAAGTCTGGGCTTCTTAAATGTAACCACTAATCCAGGATCATTCTGAAGGATTAATGTTCTCTGCCCACCAAAAATGAACCTCTGTCCTTGCTGAACACATCCCTGTCCCTTTTGCATTGCCCCCTTATCTACCAGCTTGATACATATCTGGTTTTCCATTCCAGTGTCGTCCCTGGCACTGTACATTACCAGAAATTCCTGAATAGAGACTGTGACTTGAGCGGCTGTGTCAGGGAGGATCTCAAAATGATGAGAACATGTTACAATGGCAGAGCTTCCTGTAACATCAGCATGTTTCTTGTGCTCCTTGGAGAAGTTATTTCACTTGATTCTGGTTTTGGATTCTCTACACACTTTAAACTGCTTATAAAACCACTGAGTAAAGAAACAGTTCAGTTAGAAGCATAATAAAACCAAGGGTATTCTTTTTATTGTCCAATACCTGAACAAAACCTTAATGAATGTTTTTTTTTAAATTTGTTTTCCTCACTGTGTATTAAAGGTTGATAGCAGAGCTGAGTCAATTGACAAGAAAATTGCTAGGCTTGATGCAGAACTAGTGAAGTATAAGGATCAAATGAAGAAGATGAGAGAGGGGCCTGCAAAGGTAAGAATCTTCTGTGGGATTTAAGTATGAGAGGATGTGACTCACACTTCTTGTCGTGTAATGGGGTGATTTAGCCAGTTCATCAGGTTCCTAGGATGGCATCTTGCCCTACTGATGGGATGTAAGGTCCTGCAGGATTATTTTCATTCTGAAACAGCTCTTTGATATGCATCTTTGAACAGTGTTTTCGTTGGTTTTTGTTTCTTCCAAAGTGTAATATAATTCCTGAGTCAGAAGTAACTTGCTACCCTTCTTCTGAATTATCTGAATTAAGTTTGGTAGAGAGGCAGTTTTGAAAGGGGATGAACATTTACTATAAAATGTATCTAAGAATAAACATATCTAGTATAAACAGTATTGTTATAGTACTTTTTGCAGTATTATTTAATGCTGACCATTAACATGTGTTGATGAAAGATGGTTCTGATAGACTAACTTTCTATTCTGCTAATCAAAAAATACATTCAAAAGCCAGAGTATTTGAAAGTATTTTCTATTAGAAGCTGAATGTGACTATTGTTAAACTCTGCACAGTAGCTGAGGAATCCTTTTGAAAACCTAAATGCAATACATTAGGTTTAAACGGTATAATCAGAGGTAAAGTCAATTATTTTTCCTAATGTAACAATATTGTCTTTCAGAATACAGTAAAGCAGAAAGCTTTGAGAGTGTTAAAGCAGAAGCGGATGTGAGTTTAAACCTTTCTCAGTTTGGGATTAATGAAAGCCTGTTTTCTTTAAGGGGGAGGGAGGTGGCACACTTTCATTTCGCTTTCCACTACTCTTGCTTCTGAGCATTCTGTAATGAAAAATGCTGAACAAGCTAGCCAGCCTTTCAGAAGCATCTCCTTACAGATTTTGCATCAGCATATTTGTACGCGATATAAATTTGGACAGGGACAAGCTGACCTAAATCTGCTCATTATCAAAGCTATACTTGGCTCCTAAACTTTCTGATAGAGTGTCTCATTTTATATTATTAATTGATTACTATAAATTACGTACTTGATGATCTTGGTCTGATTTACTGGAAATTTACCTTTCTGTGGACACCCTTTAGGACTTGAGCACACGCAGTGCAGGTAATTGTGTCTTTGTGAAAAAAAAACCCAAAACAAAACAGAATGGACAGGGTAGATGATCCTGTGGTCTGGTCTACTGTAGTATACTGTCTTGGAAAGTGTCCAGCAACAAATACAAAGGAAAGAATGTCAGAACGTGGCAAGTGTTCAGGGGCACTTCACTGAAATACCTTACAGTCCCTGAACGGCAAATCTCTTGGGTGCAGTCTGAGCCAAAGCTCGTATCATCTTGTATTTCATATCCCTTTCATTTTGTCTGGTATTTTATAATCCCTGAATTGTACTCTACAAATTTGTTCAATTACTTGTTAAGTATTTGTGAACTCTGACCATCCAAAATATCCTATGGTAAGGAATGCAGTAGTTTAGTTCAGGGTTGTGAGGAGGACTGCTTGGGTTTAGGTTTTGGTTTTTTTCCTTTTTTTTTACAATGCTGCCTGCTGGTCTTGCCTAATAGTTGTTCCCCTGTCTACAGTCACTGGGCCCTTGATAATAGGCTGTCATCATATCTCTCAGTCATCACTTTTCCATCTTGTTGAACAGAAATACATTTAAACGTTTCTTATCCAGAAGCTGTTTTGCATTTGGATCATCCTTGTTTTGCAGACCCTCCTACCTTGCATGTTTAAAGAAGGACCCATTGTTGTTTTATGCTTTCATTATTAACTTGACATATTTTAAATTCTTGGTTGGACACAAGTTTAGCTTTGAGACAGATAATTTCTTTATTTTTAAAGTCTCCTTTTTCTTTTTTTTTGTTAGCCTTAAGAGTTTCCTTTTGCTACCACATCCTTCTCCCTGACCTGTAGACCTGCAGTGCAGAGCCATTGTGGTTTGGATATCTTGCATCTTTTCCAATCTGCTTACAGCATCAGACAGCAATGGCATGCGTCTCTAGCTTACAGTGATAACACTTTGCTATATCCTTACCTACAGTGTAAGCCTGTACCATGCAAATATGGTATCGCCATCAGCTAAAACAGAGGCTTAGTTCAGGAGTAGCTTTGTCAACTATAAATACACAGAAATGCGTAATGGCCAGATTTTTGTGAAGCTGTTTGTTCTGCTGTGGTTTTTTTATAATGAATAATAAAGAAGTAAAATCTGTTCCTATCTTTAGACTACTACTACTAATTTTTCAATTAAAAAAAAAGAAAATTTTTATGGCAATAAATAGTGTGGTGTGTTAAAGCCATCATTTGCATTGTTTTTAACAGGTATGAACAACAGAGGGATAATCTGTCACAGCAGTCTTTTAATATGGAACAAGCTAATTACACTATTCAGGCACTAAAGGATACAAAGACAACGGTACCAGTATATTAATCGCACTTTCGTTTAACTTGTGTATGCTACATCAGATAAAAATGTGTTGTTTTGACTCTATTCTAGGTGGATGCAATGAAACTGGGAGTGAAAGAAATGAAGAAAGCTTACAAGCAAGTAAAAATTGATCAAATTGAGGTGAGCTTCTTCTGTAGTTTAAAGAACAGGAACAAGGGGCCACCATCGTAAGTCCTTCCTGATTTCTTTGGTACTGCACAATCAGTTGTTGGCCTTCTTGCACTGAGTGTTGTTTCCACGCTGGGCTAAGCTTTAATCTCTCCCTTTCTTTTCCCGGCACTTCACTATAAATGTTGTTGAATACTTCCTGCTATGGCTTTTTTGTCCTCATTTTTCCACTCCTCCTTCCTCATGTTAGCAACGTGCAGATTAGTCCTTTGCTCCCCTAGTTCAAGGTAGTGCCTGATTAAAAAACCAACCAACCAACCAAACGAACACCACCCCAAAAACTAAAACAAAACCCAAAAAGATCTACCAGATGGTAGATTTAATTTCTCTAGATTTCACACTTTCCTGCTTTTCACAATAATGCTGAACTGTGGATGATTTATTAAAGGCTTTCAATTTACCCTGAAGAATAGTTAAAAAAAACCCAGACAGTTCTGCAGAGATGTCATTTAAAGGTTCCTCTTTTTCTACTTCATACATTCATAATAATTTTAACAGTAGTTAAGGTTACACTATAGTACTGAATGCACGTGTCTTGACTTGTATTAATGCTGCTTCACGAACTGGTTTCTGCATTAAAAGATGAGTGCCTCCTATGTTGGAATTACTAAACTTAATTGGATTAAGCTCTGATAAAGTTAACTAAAACTATTAAATATGAGCCAGCTGAAACTGTTTTTTGCTTCAGGACATACAAGATCAGCTAGAGGACATGATGGAAGACGCTAATGAAGTCCAGGAGGCACTGAGTCGTAGCTATGGAACGCCAGAGATTGATGAAGATGACTTGGAAGCAGGTTAGATTAAAAAAAATCATATGGTCATACAGTGATTTTTAATTTCATTAGTCAAACACTTCAAGTGTGTTGAAAAAAACAAGTTTCAATCACTTTTTTTAAACATAAAAGCTGCATGTCCTTTAAAAGCTGGAACAAGATGATGAGAAAAACGTGAGAGAGATATTTAGGGAATGTTACAATGAAGGAAGGTAGCGTCTCTATTATTTTTGTGTGCGTGTATTCCAACTGATGACTAAGTAATGCTAAGTGAGTATGAATGTAAGCATTCAGTATGAATCCTGTTTCTCTGTGAGAGCAACTTTTCTTTTGCAAAAAGAATTCCTGGCATAATTTTTCAACCAATGTAATTAAATTTCAGAACTGGATGCATTGGGTGATGAGCTTTTAGCTGATGAAGACAATTCCTACTTAGATGAAGCTGCATCTGCTCCAGCCATCCCAGAGGTCACTCCTACTGACACGAAAAACAAAGTGAGTTCTTTCCTCTTCAAACACAATATATGTTTGGGGTTTTTTGTTTTGGATTAATCACATTTGTGTTGGTTGCTTCATATTTGGCATCCTTAATATTTTGAACAAAAAAATGGGTTTAATCTTTTATGTATTTTTTGGATGTTGTATATGAGAGAATACAGTGTACCGAATATTGTATTTTAAAGAGCTAAAATGACATTTTGTAACTCCTATCCAACACTATCGGACTGCAAGTGGAATTTAAGCGTACCATTACAGCTCCTAGTATAGTTATTCTTAAAAATGTAAGAAAGTCTTCTGCATATTTGCTTTTGGGGCTTCATAGTGAGGAAGAATACTGATGCTCTTATTTTGATTCCAGCTGCCATACAGTGGCAATTACAGATACATCACTTTATAGAAATTGCAGGGAAATTTTTGTGAAACATTCTGGTTGATGGAGAGTTGTTCACTTGTTGCTTCTTTTTCTTTCTTACAGGATGGTGTGTTGGTGGATGAATTTGGATTGCCAAAGATCCCTGCAACATAAAGGTTTCAAAAGCACAATGGATATAATGAACTTTACAAATCAAATTAAGATTTATTTTTTTTTTTAAATCCTGGAGAACTTGTCCTTCCAGTGTAACCTTAATATCACTACATCCTAGAACGCAATATGAATGGCTGTTGGTGTTCTTTCTTTGAAGAAAGTTGTTCTACTACTGACTTTTCTATTAATGGAAAATTTGGCACAATTTTTTCCCTTCAGTGGAAGCAGTCAGTCTGATAGGTTTTGATTTCTGTGTCTTATGGACGAAATAAATACGTGAAGAGTAGTGGTGGCTGTCGATAGCTGAGGTTTATTTTGACTTTGTATTGTTTCTCTTTCTTAAAGCTAAGACTGTATGTTGCTGCTTACTCTCTGTAAAATAGCTCCCTTATTACTATGCTTATTTGATAAAAGAATCAAAAACGATTTTTAAACTACTGCAGTCTTGGGACTTTTATGCTATCGTACTTGTAACCTTCTTGGAAGCTGTAACCAATAGGGTTGTCGTTAACTTGATGTATTCTACGGAGAGATAAAACCATGTAGATTAGCTGACCCTTTTGTGTGGCGTTTCTGCTCATTAATTTGGTTTTAATCCCCGCCCCCCTCCCTCTTTTTGCGGCGCTCCCGGGTCGGAAACGCTTCTCTGGGGCCGTTCTCGTGACAAAGCCGGCGGTGACCCCGGTAAACAACCGGCCCGTGGTAGCCCGGCCCCTCGGCTAGAGAGGCGGGGCCTGAGAGCGGAAGTGACGCTCAACCGGCGCGCCACGGGAGGCGCCCGCAGAACGGTTTTCTTGTGGCGGGGTGAGATGGCGGCGCCTGGAGACCCTGTTACCGTCACCATCACCTACAGTAAGGG